CTATAATAAAAAATGCAATATGAAGACCTTATCTCAAGACCATAGTAGCACTACTACAGGGCAGGGTGGAGTAGGTGGGGTGGAGGAACTTGCAAAAAGCAGAGCTGGCCTGGGCATTCAGTCCTTAGGTGCAGTACTCAGTCTAGCTGTCCTGTCATCTGGGGCCTCCCTGTCCCCTGGGGTCCATTCTGTGGGTCACCTTAGGTCACTGAGGATCCTGGGCTGCCACTTTGACTCATGCCTACGGGTGCAGTCCAGACTGAGGGCAGATGTCACGGTAATCAAAAGGGCACTGCCTGACCTTGGCCACTGAGTGGGCATAGCCACCTGCCACATGGTTCCCAGTGCCCAAAGGTACTACCCTGCCAGCTCTGCCCCACACTCCCCGTGGCTCCACTCCCACTCAGCTGTCCTCCTCAGCTTCCCTTCAGCTATGCCCTGCTCCTCCAACTTTCTGGCAGCTTCACCTTGCTCCATCCCTAGCTATGTGCAACTAAGCCCTACACCTCCACAGCAATCAGTCCTGCTCCAACCCTCAGATCCACCCCCTCCTTTCTCACAGTTCTACCTCCAGCCACTCCTCCAGTTCTTTCCACACGTCATCCTCCCCAAGAGTTCCGCCTCCTGCCACAGTTCCGCCCCCAGCAACCCCCTCCCCAACTATTTCCCACCGATCCGCCCCCAGCTCTCCCCACTACCCAGCTTTCCCTACCTCCTCCTTCACCCCCGAAGCTCCTCCTCCCCCAGCTCTTTCCCATCAATCCTCCCCAGATATTGCTCCCTGAGCTCCGCCTCCTCCACTCCCTCCCGCAGATCCTTACCCTGCTTTCTCATAGTTCCACCCGCAGCTACTGCCCTTGGCTTTTTCCGCCTATAGCACCTAGATACTCCTCCCCCAAGTCCGCCTTCTCCCAAAGTCCCGCCCCCTAGGTTTGCCTAGCCCTGCCCTTTCCGCTGCCAACCCCGCGTACTTTTGGTCCTTCCTCTCCGTTTCTGGCCACTGGTCCGGAGGCCCCTACCTGCCCTGGTCATCCCGCGAGCCTCAGTGTCCCGTGAGTCCAACAATGTCTCCTAGCAACCGTGGCCTGCGTGTGTGTCTACGTATGTACTTACGTGCGTGTTTAAGTTACTGCCTGGCTGCTTACCCACATGCCAGCTACTTGCTTGCAGAATCTAGGCATGCGTGCTGCTGAGTCAGGGCGTGCTGCAGCGTCAGGGCGTGCTGCTGCGTCCCGCGTGCCACTTAAGTACGTATGGTATGTGTTTATGTTCCTTTGTAAGCTAGCAAAAAGGGGGTTTTTGTATCTGCCCCGCTGGGCGGTAACTACAGCCAGTGCCGGTCACCAGTCACCTGTTCGCGATCCCAGCGCAGCCAATGCGCAGTCAGGTTGCGGCCCTGGTGCACTGTGGTGTCGCCTCTTCCCAGAGTCCTGGCCTCCTTAGGGCGTGGGAGGCGGTCTTCTCGGCACTGGCAGTCTCGCAGGGCTGCGGGGAGGTGGCGGACTGGCCTTTGTGGTGGCCTCAGCTGGGTCAACACAGAGCGTAGCCACTTGTATGGCCAGTGGCGCCAGGACGACCTGAGTCACCAGAAGAGAGCCAGGACGCTCAGTGCAGCTGCTGGCCTGCTGGGTCTTACCGCTTGGCCCTTAGGCTCTCACCACCCCACCTCACCCAGACCCTAGGCTGTGTGGTACTCAGCTGGTTGCCCATGGCACCCCTCGCAGTGGGACCTACCCAGGATTACATTGAGGGGAATGGGATTGTAGGGTCCCCAAATCTTTCCCAGTTGATGATGTGAGGGAAGGTGAGATTTTTTTCTCCTCCTGGATACGGGGTCTGCTGGGCTGTAAGAACATGACCCACTTACCTGAAATGGTTTTCTCTGCTTCTGGCTAGGCCATCATGTGGTCCCTGACCAGGCAGGGGATGACAGAGCCACTGCCGTGATGAGCAGACCAAACCCCGAGTGAGGGACCACAGTGTGTTTCCCACCAGTTAGAACCTCCTCTGTGCTGGTGGTTTCCAGTCCTTGCTGAGTATAAGACTGTTCTGGTATGTTAGCCAACATTGCTGTCTTGTCCCTAATCACCTTGTCTCATTATCCCTCGTCCTTGTGCAGGTGAAGAAGTAGAGACAAGTGGAAGAGTTTCTTCCTCAGGCCACAAAACAGGTACTCTGCACCATGAGGCGGAAGGGTACTCAGCCCCCTTTGTGCCATTATAGTTATCTCAGTTCTCCTTAGGGATGCTACCCATCCAGTTCAGTTCTCCTTGTGATTTTGTGGTGTTGAGGAGAAAAGGGCCAATAAACTCAATGGCAGAAACTAGGCATATGCCCCAGTAGAACAAATGCAAATGGCCAGACCACAGGGGGACATCCAGCCTCCGTCATAAATAATCCAAACCCAATGACTAGGGTGACCCTTCATCACCTGTCAGGTGGGCAGAGGTTAAGCACAGTGATAATGCTCAGAGCCAAGAAGCATGTGAGGAAATGGAATCCTAGCCCATGGTTGGCAGAGCATGCATGGGCTCTGTGGAACTTCCAACTTCTGTGGAAGGCCATTAGCTGGTGTGTATCAGCATCTCAGATGTGCATGCAAGTGACCCAGGCCTCTTCCTAACAAGTCTACAGTCGAGTGTTTGGGGTAGTGTTCTTTATAGTGGCAGAAAGTGCAAAGCGGCCTGTGACTCTTCATCCATAGGGGAAAGCCAGTCAATCATGGGGCAGCTGACAATGGGATACCATGCAGGCAGCAAAATATAAGCTAGAAGAAATGTACAGACGTGAAGGAATGTGCTTGATGTACTGTCAATGGCAAAATCATTTTCTACTCTGTGGAGATCTGCGGGAAAGAGCTATGCCTCTGTAGTTGTTTGCCAAGATAGTCACATCAAAGCACCACAGCCCAAGTGGCTTAAACAACAGACATGTCTTGTCTCACAGTTGCGGAGGCTGGAGGTCAGAGATCAAGGTGTCGGCCAAGTTTGCCTCTACTGAGGACTGAGAGAGAATCTGCCCATCTCTGTCCCCAACCTTCTGATGGTTTGCAGGCAAGCTTTGGCATCCCTTGGCTTATAGATCTTGATCTTCATCTTCACAAGGTATTCTGCATGCATGTCTGTCTGTAAATTCCCCCTTTAGGTGAGGGCACCAGTCATTGCATGAGGGTCTCATTTTAACTTGATTACCTATGTAAAGCCCTTTTCTTTATGAATAAGGTTCTGGGGTGAGCAAGAGGGGTGGGATCCAGAGCACAGGGTTAGGTGACCCAGCCAGAGAAAGGGAGAAGGAGCTGGGCACAGGGACTGGCAGGATAGTGGGCTGGGAAAGGAGTGGACACAAGGCAGCTTTCATCCTCTGGCCCTTGACTTTGAGAGTGGGTGTGTTTTCATAAACACAAGGACATAATAGCTGAGGTGAGGTTTATGTCCTTTAAAGACAGGATGAGACAGCCAGAATGGGGGTGCTCATGTGAAGGGCAGAGCCAAGGCTTAGGCCCTATGATGATGTGTAACCACCAGTCGTGACAGTCCTGTGAGATGCCAGGTACTCAGCCCTGTGGAGACTGAGCTCCGCCAGGTACTGTAATCTGGCTGAGTCTTTGGCCTGGGTTCTTGCTACTGCCACTGCACAGCTCTGTCCTCCAATGAAGAGGAAGTACACCCGTCCCTAGGTACCAGGAAAGGTGACAAGGACGGGATGATGCAGTCAGGGCCCCCATGATCATAGGTCATCTATTCATCACTTGGTGCCACCTTCTCAACTGTAGAATGGGGTGACAGTGGTGCTGCCCCTACCCAGTTATTTAGGATTGAATTCTAGGATCCATGGATCATGCCCATCCTAGGGCCTGGCATGGGGATAGTGCTTGGGTACCGGTGCCGGTTGTTCCTGCTCCTGTTCATTTCTCTAGGCTTGGGTGGGGGCCCGGGTGTCTGCTGACAGCAGATAGCAGTAGTGCAGCCAGGAGTTGGAGGAGGGTGGCACCCAAAGAGGTCGGAGTCAGGGTCAGGAGGAGACACCTGGCAGAATTATCTGAGCTCACACAGTGTCCCCAGGGCTCAGCTGAGGTTGGATCCCAAGCATTTGCAATCAGCATCCCTGGGAGAAGTGCCAGGGTGCTCAGGAACCTGCAGCATCTGATAGTGTTGGGGTGGGTGGAGGTGGGGAGAAGAAGCAAAGCCCAGGATGGTCTGTGCTGGGAGAGGACTACAACCCACCCACCAGCTGTGAAGCCAAAGGGCCCTCCCTCCTTCCTGTGTGCTCCCCTGACCTTAGTGACCTCCTTTGTAGAACTGAGCACAGTGTGTCCTGACTGCCTTTTTGTAGCTGTCTCACTCCCTTCCTTGAGCTCCCCAAAGACTCCATCTAATGATGGACAAGGCATCCACATTGCCATCCCTTTCCATTGTGCCTGGCAGCTGACTGTATGGTAAAAGGAAGAAGGATCCCCACATTCTCTGCTCTCCCACCGTCCCTGTCAGTGGGGTTCCAGGGCCTCTAGGGGACACTGAGAAGAGGTAAGCCCACAGGCATGAACTTGGAGGGCTGGCGCATGATGCTTATTGACATTCACGCTTCTGCATTTCTATAGGCCACGTGAAGCCCACGGATCTCTGGGGAGATGAAGTTCTGCTGCCTCTCCTTCCGGCAGCCTTATGCAGGTTTTGTCTTAAATGGGGTCAAGACTCTGGAGACTCGTTGGCGTCCCGTGCTGAGCAGCCACCGGCACTGTACCCTCGCAATCCACATTGCTCACAGGGACTGGGAAGATGCTGTCTGGAGGCAGATGCTGCTGGAGAGGCTGGGATGGAACCCCACGCAGATTCAGGCCTTGCTTCGGGAAGGGGAGAAGTATGGCCGTGGAGTGATCGCTGGCAAGTGGCAACACCCCAAGCACTGCTCAGACCCCTCCAAGGGTACCCCCAGGACCTTGCTCAGGAATTTGGGGCTTGTTTTCTTTTTAACCTGTTGGGGTGGGGGCTGCAGTTTTTGTAAGCAGCACACCTTCAAAGGGGCAGCAAGGCGCCCTGGGCTGGGGTTCCATGGACAGAGTTTCTACAACCTGGGTGAACTCCTCTGTCCACTCTAGGCCTCAGTTCCCATTGGTGATCTGAGAGGCAGGGAGAGGCCCCAGTTTGCATGTGGCGATGCGTGTGTGTGTGTGTGTGTGACAGACCAGGAGAGGCCGCACAGCACACAGAGAGGGTTGGGCGGCCTCCAGACTCAGGCAGCCTGCCTGACTTCACACACCTGCCCCATGCCCACTGCCCGTGGCATCCTGAGCAAGTTCCCTCATCCCTCAGTGATTGAGGTCCCACATCAGCCCCTTTCACCTAGTGAAGTACTTGGGACCTAATTGCCTGTGGGTTCGGCACAGCAGCCGGGGTCCTTCTGACCTGTACACGCTGCCCTCAGCGGTCTAGCTGGGACCTGCCTATTACTGGGTAGAGCTGTAGAGGACCAGGCCCTGTCCTCTTCATTTCTCTCTCTCCCCTGGCCTCACCCAGAATTCCTTGAACAGAGTTAACACATTGGAAGCGCTCAGTCAGAGGGTCCCAGCTCACTCCATGTCCATTTGGTGAAATCAGCCTGGTTTCTAGTGGTCGTAACTTTGAATAACCGTTTTCTCTCACAGGCAGACCTTGGTTTATAGAAGGAAAAACATCTCTCTGCTTCTCTCTTGGTGCACAGGGCTCGTTGACATTGGGGAAACTTTTCAGTGCCCAGAAAACTTAGCTCCTGATGAGGTCGTGGAACTGGAAAATCAGGCTGTGTTGACCAATCTGAAGCAGAAGTACCTGACTACACTTTCAAACCCCAGGTGGTTACTGGAGCCCATACCCAGGAAAGGGGGAAAGGATATCTTCCAAGTAGACATCCCAGAGCATGTGATCCCCTTGGGGCAGGAGGACTCCTCACAGGAAGGTTACCGACAAACCAGCTGAATCATGACCATCAACTGGCCATAATGCCCCAGACGTAGAAATCAGGTTCAATCTGAATTGGCACCACTGTGCAGAGCACTACCCACCATCTGCTGTTCGTGTAAACAGATTTCTGGGCTCAGATGTAGGGGGCTTTCATCCTGAGATGCCATTCTGGGCTGATTGACAGTCTCAAGGACTTTGACCTTTAGGGAAAAGGGAAAGCTGCTGCCGCGGTCCAGCCGCAGCGGGAGTCAGGGTTGCTGAAGGTGGGCAAGGCGTCGGCACCNGCCATTCTGGGCTGATTGACAGTCTCAAGGACTTTGACCTTTAGGGAAAAAGGGAAAGCTGCCACTAAAAGTCTTGGTGTTATCACTCATTTTGGGCCTGCTCCTTGCTGGGTTGTACAAAGAAATATGATTTAAGAGAACTGGTTAGTGTTCAGGGCTCCCTTACATGTTTTCCCCTCTCTTTGTTCTGGTCAANGTGGTGTGACACTGTTCCACTTTATTGAGAATCAACATAATCTTTTATACTTTCTTTTTTGGCTACGATTACATTTTTTCGGTTAGCAAGCAAGAAATATTATTCACAGGTTAAACAATACAAGTTTCGATTTCATCAGAACGGAACAATTTTGACTTATTTTTTAGAATAGAGGAGAAAGGAAAAATCAGTGACCTATAGAGTGATAGATGTGGCTTTGTTTGCAGCAGGAATATATTGGCTTGTGAGACAGAAATTTTATATAATATTTGCCTGTGGTTACTACTTCGTATGGTTATATTTTAACTGTGGACCTATTCATAAGCTATTATATTCTTCTTGCCATTTTCTTCTAAGAAAAGAGTGCCTTTTGCCATAGCTATTGATTAACTGCTTAAGAATGCTTTTCTTTTGTTTCTTTGGGAGCAAGCACCAGCGTGGCTGCTGCCTTGCCAAGCGTTTCATGAAGGGCAAGTTCTCATACTGAACATGCCTTCCATTTACATTAACTATTCTGATTCCGTTCTCATTGGAAGCACCTGTATAAGGCAGAGGAGGGTCTGGTAGCCTTTCCATACTCTTAGCCCTTTTCAGGGGGATGCCACAATCTGCCATTTATTCTATGTGCTACCCAGGGTGGCCCTGTACAGCAGGCGAGGGGCGATGGCCTTTTTCTTGTCCTTGACTAATCCTGCATTCATAGGCGGGGCACTGGAGGATCNCCTGCCATTTATTCTATGTGCTACCCAGGGTGGTCCTTGTACAGCAGGCGAGGGGCGATGGCCTTTTTCCTGTCCTCGGCTAATCTTGCAACCATAGGCGGGTGCATGAGCTCAGCTTTCTCTAGTTCCTCCATAAATTCCTTTTTGGGGGCACCAGGGGGAGTTTTCCTAGCTTCTTCTAATGACAATTTGTTAAAGCATCCGGCACATGTGATAGTGACTGGACTTGGGGAAATCGGGATTTCTTCAGAAGTGAGAACATTGTTTACCATTCCCAGGTTAGTTATTGATTTATGGCCCAAAATCCCCCTCCAAGGAGGAGAAGGGATATTCCCATTAAGCCAATTACTCCCACCCACATGCCATGTCCTCTCCTCAGAAGACACCTTCCGTGAAGCTTCCTCTCCACGTCCGGATTTTGTCAGACGACATGGTTGGGAGAGGACGCGACAAGCTGCCACTAAATATCTTGGTGTTATCACTCATTTTGGGCCTGCTTCTTCCTGGGTTGTACAAAGAAATATGATTTAAGAGAACTGGTTAGTGTTCAGGGCTTCGTTATATGTTTTCCCCTCTCTTTGTTCTGGTCAAACTCGGTGCATTAGCAGCATCGAGGGGACCTTGTGGTAGGGCTATGAGTGGGCACTGAACAATTACCTGAGGGTGACCAGTCAGGGATGGCCTCATTTACCATGAAAGGGACATCAGACTTTGAAAGAAAGCACCTGTCTGTCCTGGTAAGTGACTCTTGTCTGTTGTAAAAGTGTCCCTTGGCTCATGAAGCCATGTGTTAGACAAGTCACATAGCTACTTCATGACAAAAAAAAAAGCTCTGGGTGGTATGGCGATAGACATTTGACCCTGTGATCCTTCTAGGAATATAAACTAATAAACCCAAAACACCAATCAGAAAGAACTTAGGCACCCCTATGTTCATAGCAGCGCAATTTACAGTAGCTAAGATCTGGAAACAGCCCAAGTGCCCAACAGTAGATGAGTGGATAAAAAAGCTGTGGCACATTTACACCATGGAATACTATGTAGCCATAAATAAGGATCTCTTATCCTTTGGGACAGTATAGATAGAACTAGAGAGCCTTATGTTAAGTGAGATAAGCCAGTCAGAGAAAGACAAGTATCACATGGTCTCACTCATATATGGAATACAATGAACAAAATAAACTGATGAACAAAACAGACCCAGAGACATAAAAGCATGGAACAGACTGAGGGATCTCAGAGGGAAGGTGGGGGTGGGGGAGTGAGTGGGGAGAGATTACTCAAAGAATTTATATGCATATATGCATAACCTATGGACACAGACATTGGTATGGGGAAGGCCTGGGGGTGGGGTGGATGCGGGGTAGAGGGAGTCAATGAGGGAAAAAGGGGACATCTGTAATACTTTCAACAATAAAGATAATTTTTTTAAAAAAAGGATCTGAAATACAGCTCTGATGGAAAAGTGATGAGTAGAGTCTTTTGTTTTTCTTTGGGGGCAGTCTTTATTTGGGTCTCTTCTAACAGAGTTAATAATGGTTGTTACCTGTGAGGATGATGGACTTTCTCCCAGGCATTGACTGGAATGGCCCATCTTCTGAGCCAGACTTCCTTGGTTGTACACCACTTAGCAGATGGGGTGGCCCGAGTCTTAGGTAGGCCTCTCTGGAAGGCCCCTGGAACTTGGGCTAGAGATGCTCAGCTGCTGATCAGAAGCCTGTGGACATAGGGGGGGCTGTGAGGAAAGACCCTCCTGTTTCAAGATGCATGACTAATGTCAGGTCATTCCCCCAAGGTCAGGGCCCTGCAGTTCTGTCTCCTGACCAGCAGGCAAGGCTCAGGGGACCAGATCTTCCTGGGCTTGCCTCAGGACCCCCTAGCCAGGTCCTTGACAGAGTGTGTGAAGCTGAAAGAGGACAGTGGGACAAAAGCCTGCCTCAGGCCAGGATTTCTAGTCTCGGCCTTATCTGATGAGGTGTGTGGCATGGAAACAAAAGAACACGGATTCATAATTCTCATAGCTTTGTTTATTTACTGCCATGTAGTTTTGCTGTTTTTTAAAGACAAAATGGATTCATGGTTACAAAGTGGTGATTGTTTTCCGACACTTGAGACCTTAGGGACCTGTACTGTCCATGAACTGCCCACAGAGTGAGCAATTGCAATGTGAGCCTTCCTCCTCCTCCTCGTCAAGGAAGTCAGGTAGGATCATGACCGAAAGGACAGCCATCAGGATGGAATAACAGATGTTGTACAAATACATAACCAAATCATATAGTGGGTAATTTGGGGGACTGGGGAGCAGACCCCCCGTGCCATTGGTTCCGGCAGTAGCTGTGGGCACAAGCATGTCATTCCCAGATGTACCCTCCCCACTTAGGCCACCTGTCTCACTTGGACACTGGATATCCATGGCACTGCTGGTGGGCCGCAGACCCGAGAACTTGAATGACAGGGTGCCACTGGGTCCCCGAGGATTCCGGGGTTTCCTCTGGGCGTTTTCCTCGGCTTCTTTGGTTCCTCTTTTCTGGTGCATTATCGGGGAGTATCTTGGGGTTAGCCTCTTGATTCTCTTTGGAGGTGTTGCACTGCTCCCTGGTGAAGTGCGAGTCATCTGGTTTCCTTGGGTCTTAATGTTCTGGACAAGCCAAGGCTTGTCTCTCTGGAAGTTACAGTTTCTGTAGATCTGAAACAAAATTAATTATTTTAGTCCTTTGGGGAGAAAATACATATATTTGACATTAACTGGGCTCTCAGACTCTTTAGTGATCCCTGCAGGTTATCTCTAAGGGGGTTATAGTTTCATATGAAAATCTATACTTTCTCATCTTTCCATAAGTACTGTCTCATATGAAAAAGAGTTATGNCCATAAGTACTGTCTCAAGTGAAAAAGAGTTATGCCCTGAAATGAAACCCTTTCAGTATATCATTGTTCTTGGTCTACTGGGAAGATGGTCGAGTAACAGAGAACACGAGAAACAGGAGGACTTTCTACTTTACCATCACGTTATTTCCTGGATAGCAAACTGAAGAGTCGCCTGGGCGTATTTTGCTGAATCCATGTAGGTTCAGCAGGCGGATGAAGCTTTTCAGGCTGTCTGATTCAAAGATTTTCTCGTTGCCCCTTCGGCAAAGAACCTCCCTCTGGAAAAGGTCTTTCTTGATGATCACGGTGTCTCCATCATCATTCCAGTGCACAGACGTGAAGCAGTCATCCTCCACTATTCCCCAAAGCTTTCTTGGGAAGGACAGTCTCCGAAGAATGTTTCCTTCCACGTTGGTGGCGCCTTGGTTTGGTGGTTGCAGGTCGTCTTGGGGACTTGGATCTTGGCTCCTGGCTTGGTCCTCATGGGAGACCAAGGTCTCCAAAGCCTCCCTGGGATCCACATGTCCATCCTCTGATGAGACCANTGGGGCCGGGCTGGCTTTGCCCATCTCATTAGTACTCTGACTAGCCATGGAGCTGCTCTACATCAAAAAGCATTTGCTACCAGGGATCCTATCACTGATCACTGGGGTCAGAAATGCCTTTGGTCACAGCAGGGTTGCCCTATATATACTGTCCTGAAAATTCTAGAGTCTCGGTTGTGGGGCAACCAGTCACAGTCCTCATTGTTGGTCATGTGATGTCACAAAGCTGGCTCTCAGCTGCTCTGGAGTGTGGGCCCTGGCCAGGTGTGGGGGAGTGGACATGTGTAGGCCCTCCAGTTTCTCTCTTTTCAGAAAGTACAGAAAAATAAAGTTCATGTTACAAGAAAGGGTGCTCATCTGCTGCCAGGTATATTGTTTCTTGTTGCTAGGCACTGGATGGGTTGAGAAGTCATGGTCCTATGTCCACTCCCACCGCTACAGCTGGGAGAGGCCTGTTGATGGCCAATTTGCTCAAGGGCAAGGTNTCGTGTTGCTAGGCACTGGATGGGTTGAGAAGTCACGGTCCTATGTCCACTCCCACCCCTACAGCTGGGGGAGGCCTGTTGATGGCCAATTTGATTGCTCAAGGGCAAGCCCTGGTTAGTCCTAACTTGGCTATCACCAAGACTACCTGGGTCAGGTGGGCTCCTGGGGGACTGTAACTCCTAGAAGATGGTGGTTGGCCCAGGCTCAGTTGGTAGCCCCCGTCTTCAATGCCCCCCCCCCAAGCTTCCACTTTGGTCTCTTCCAGCTGCTCCTCCTAGTTGGTGGGTCCTGCTCAGATGAAGCCAAAAAAGAGTCTTATTTTCTTACCCCTGGGTCAGGTTGTCCCTAAAGTAGGGCTGTGCTCCAGCATAGTTGGGAGTGCTCCTCTCATTCCTCAACCTCAGTGCTACCCTAAGCACCCAGACATAGTGTTACAGTGTTGGTGTGTGAATGGACAGCCGCACCCTCTGCTGTGCTGGGGAGCCCTCTATTAAGCTCTGTTTGCCCTCAAATCTCACCCTTCTCAGGTCACAAGAGGATTGACTTTAGTTTCCATTTCTTCTCCATAGGAACTCTTTTCACTACCCAGGATGGCCTCCCTTTGGGGCACCTGCATTTGCCTTCTCAAATCACCCTCCCCAGACCCTTGGGTTCAGCCTCCCTGGAGGCCTCCTCTATACCCCATTTCTTTTCTTCGGTGAGGTTGGTGGGCTTTTGCTTTCCTNTCTTTTCTTCAGTGAGGTTGGTGGGCTTGTGCTTTCCCAGATTTCTGGCCTCCTATTTCCAAATTGGATCTCCTTTGGTACTTCCCCTTTCCATCACTGAGTTGGGGGCTAGGCATATATTCAGCTCTGTAGAAACAAAGCATTCCACTGACTCACTCTCATGCCAGCCCTGTTCTCTTTGCCAGAAGTACACCACACCCTCACTTGTGTGTCCCTCTCCTGCGATAGTCTTGACAATAGGCATATTGAATCATTTCATTTGCTCTTGGGTTAGATACTTTTCAAAGACCCTACTTTACACAGACTCACTACCAAGGAAAATTACAACTTGTTTAATTAGCCATGACTGAAGGAAGCCAATATGAAGATAATGATAAATATGTACTTGAACGTAAATGAGTGTCTGGACGTGAGATGGGACAAAAGCCAGATTCATCTTCACCTTAGAGGAGCGGATACTACAGTGGTTTCTCTGACCCATGTTCTCTGGCTGTTGTGGACAACTTTGGACAACTCTGAATAGGGAGGTAGAGTGGTACCGTGGAAAGGTCCCACCTGCACCGGTCCTAGGTCCTTGCCCCAGCTCTGCCACTAAGTGGGGTCCTTTGTTTTCTCTGAGCACCAATCCTTTATTTCTGAAGGGGAAGTGCAAAGACATTTGGGAAGGGGCCCCGCAGCCTAAGGGCTGCATCCTTAATGGAGCCCNCCTTAATGGAGCCTCAGGTCCAGATTCGGGCTCATGGTCTTTGTGCTTCTAAACAGGCTTACAAAGCATTTATTCAAGAAGCCAGTTTATTCTGGGAGGATGTGCCCTGGAGGCTAAGAATTGGTGGCTTTTCAGAGGGAGGATCCTAGTGTCTCTGTTTAAACAGCCAGCTCCCTTCAGTTGCCTACCAAAGTATTGTTTCTTAAGCGAATTCTTTAAAGACTGAAAATGATGTGTCCTTGTGGCCTTTGCTAGCTCATGACTCTGCTGATTACTGATTTGGAAAAGCAGGGAATCTTACCTTTTGGGACAGTGTGGAGAGACCTGGAGAGTATTATGCTCTGTGAAATTAAGCCAGTCAGGCCAAGCCAGTGTGTGGATGAGCATCAACCTATGATCCTGGAGTTCTCATTTCAATTCCCAATCAGGGCACAAGACTGGGTTTCCAGCTTGATCCCCAGTAGGAGGCATACAGGAGGCAGCAGATCAATGATTCTCATCATTGATGTTTCTATCTCTCTCTTCCTCTCTCTTTCTCTGAAATAAATAAAAATATATTTAAAAAAAAGATAAGCCCGTCAGAGAAAGACAAATACCATATGATCCCACTTATATGTGAAATCTAATTAATAAAATAAACTGACAAACAAAATAGAAACAGGCATGAAGACATGGAACAGTGTGACAGCTGTCAGAGGGGAGGGAGGAGAGGGGTACTGCATAAAAGAAGGTGAAGGGAGTAGCCAAAGATCATATATACATAACACATAGACATAGAAAACAATGTGGTGTTGGCCAGAAGGAAATGGTGGTGGGTGCTGGGTGGAGAGGGGCAATGGAGAGGAAAATGGGGACATATGTAATAGTGTCAACAATAAAAAAAAAAAATTAAGTATATTGCTATTTACAGTTATATCTTCATAGAAAAATATATACATAAATAAATGTTTGTTGCTCTCAGACAAGATCTAGGGTGAGCTATGGGAGAGCAGGGGACTTCTCTGCAAGGAGTAGGAAGACTGTGTGTCAGGGCAAGAGTAGGAGATTTTGTGCAGCCTTCAGAGGAGGCAGCAGTGATGAGCAGGTCAGCAGGCCATGTTCTAGAGATGGACAGGTGGGCACCTGGGAGGTGCTGTCGTTCAGGAAAGTGCTGGGACTGGGCAGAAATGCTGGCATTTGGCAAAGTCAGATCTCAACAAAACCTCAGTCCCCAAATTGTGCTTGATTCTCATTGGCACCTGCCTTCCTTAGGCCTGCATTTACTGCTTGGGCCTCAGGGTCCTACTATTTGTTGTCTGAGATATGTCATTCATAGTAATGAGAAGAGAAATGAATTGCAAGGTAGAAGGTGGGCCATGGGCTGGGAAAGGTGGAAATATCATGGACTCTAGATGAATTCAGGTAAGGGGTCCAGTTTCCACCCTGCCACTTACTAGCCATGTGATCCTGGGAAAATTAGCTGGCCCAGTGAATGTCAGGTTCTTCCTCTGTGAAGTCAGTGGGTTTGAGAAGCCCTGCCTTGTAAGATTGCAGGAATGTAGAGTGTTTGTAAAGCACTAGTGTAGATTGGAACTGTGATGAATGAGTTATTTCTTTTTTTCTTTTTTTTTAATCCTCACTTGAGGATATTTTTTCCATTGCTTTTTCAGAGAGAGTGGGGGAGGAGAGAGAGAGAGAAATATCGATGTGAGAAAGACACATCAATTGGTTGCCTCCCGCACTCATGCAGGCTGGGGCCAGGGATTTAGCCTGCAACTGAGGTACATGCCTTTGGCCAGAATCAAACCCGGGACCCTTCAGTCCCCGGGCTGAGGCTCTAACCACTGAGCAAGCCTACTCGGGCAAACTGCAGTTGTTTCTAATATGGTTTTGATCCCAGACCCTTCTACTTTCTCCTCTGGCACTGTCATTAGTTGTTTGTTATCTGGTTCTTATTAGAGAATATGCAGCTCAGTAGGGCATAGAGCACCCAATTGGCCAAAAAAGATGTTCTACAAATAAAACTCAGTAAATTTTCCCAATTCAAGGATGTATGCTCAAATTCAGTTGTAGGGGAGCCTTCCCAGCTGCACACAACACAAAACTGCTAGAAAGAGAGTCTAGGAACAACTCTCTCCCTCTGTCCAAGCTTCACTTTCATCCAAACAAATGCTTTCATTCATTTCACCCCCACCCAAAATTTAGCCGTTGAAAATGATTGGTTAAATTATGCTCAAGATCATTAACACTCAAACCTAATTATGCTGTGGGCTCTGGCTCTCTCAGGACCAGGAGAAAAGTGGCCATCCAGTTACTCATGGCCCAGTAACCATATTTCTGCAGAAATCCGTGCAGATAATGGGTATAACACTACTAGTCCTCATACTGTCCAATGGCACTGAGACTGCGTACAGGAACCCACTTTTCCTAACCAGGTAGAGATTTCCCTCTGGTTTATCCATGATCCAAAGTAACTTCTCAGGACAAATTTCCATTTCAGACTTTCCTCTCACACCTAAGGCACACCATCTGCCATTGACACCACCCAGCTTCATTGCAATAAACCCCAACAGAGAGAATCAGTTTCCCAAAGCCCCAAACTGCCCTGCCTCAGGCCATGTACATTTGAGTGTGCTCCCCTGGAGCCCCACCCCCTCTCCCCTCCTTTTACTTGTTCTGTAGGATTTAGGGGACACCTCACCACCTTCCTTATATAATTGTGGCTCCTACATGATCATCCTGTAGGTTGGCGTGCCCTGCTTATCCTAGTGTCCCCACTACTAACACAGGGCCTTCCAGAGGACAGAGGCTCAGTGAATGTCTGGGAGATAAATGAACCACTGAGCAGTGGTCGTCTTTATTTAGATGAAATGCCTCCATTTTCTTGAATGAACCAAGTAAATCCAAGGATGCTTATATAGTTTGTTTCATAGAAAGACAGATGAGCAGGGATAAGAAGCAAGAGTTAACAACCTTTTGCTTTTATTTCTCCATTTCTTCACCCCATAGATTGCATGGCTGAGTTTTTTTCACATTTCCAAGGAAATACTGTTCTGTCATGTTATCTATCTAGTTCAGAAACATAAATTAAGCTGAAAAGTGTCCCATTTTGTTTTACACAATAGCAAAACTCTTACTTTTGAACTGGATAGTACAAATACATGTATGGTCAATGTCATTCACAAACTTAGGTGCTGAAGCTTATGAAAACTTCTATTAAAAGGAACAACATTGGAAATATTCCTAAAAAAATTTCCCAAATGAAACAAGATAAATTTCTAAATCATCATAGGAGCCCAAAGATGCTACAGCCCTTATTTCCCCAACTCACCCTGGGCCTCACTACCTAGAACACTAACTGCTCTCTCCTCAAACACAGAGTGAAAAATGGGTCTCACTTCATGGCCAGAAAACGAAGCTGATGAACATGGGCCTGAAACGTGCCTGGATGCAACTCTGACTCAGGCAAAGTGGTCCTCTTTGCACTCAGGCCCTTCAGGCAGGGATGGGAGGGAACTGGAATCCCTGTCATTAACCTTGAGCAAAAACTCAAGGGCTTTCAACGTGGTGGTCTCAGCGTGGGCCCTGGGACCCCACAGGAACTCATAGCATGCAGGATCACTGTTGGGCACCTGCCGGTACACCAGGTACTGTTCCTGCACCCAAACTTTGGTGATGAGCTCCCTGGGCTCCCCATAGATCCAATGCTCCTTCCCATCATGCACCCCTATGACATTCAGTGCTTCCCAGACTTTCTCCTCAGGAGCACAATCACCCTCCGCAGCGATAACCCACAGAAGTGTGATCAGGAGGCCAGTGTTGGGAAATCTGTGCCCATCACTCACCATCCCATCATAAGTGAGCCCCAAAGTGGTAACCAGAACATAGGTGTGGTTGCTGGGGTCCACTTCCTTCACATCAATGCCAAAGAGGAGCTGCATGCACTCAGAGGCTGCGCTGAAGATCTCAGGGAAGTGGTCCTGGTACTCTTCGATTACGCTACTCAGCATTTCTGCCTTTGTGATTGGCTCCTTTGCATGATACTTCAGGAGCAGGAGCTCCACCATTTCTGTCATCTTCAAATTCAGGGCTTTTTTAAGCAAGGAATCAGCATCATCTTCTGGGGCACCCCAAGTGCTTGGCCCCTCATCTTGGCTGCTGGAGCTCTCATCATCAGATTGGCTCCAGGGAATGGCTGCCATGGCAGAGGGGGAAGGGCAGGCACCCTGAGGGCTCTGGGGAGGACTTGGTGTCTCAGCAGCAGACACCTGCTCTAGGCTGTCCAAAAACAGGACTGTGGGGGAGGAAGATACAGAGGAGGAGAGAGACAGTGCCTCCTCCTCCTCCTCCTCCTCCTCC